GAGGAAACGCTGTGCTGGCACAGCATGAGAGCATATCTGCACAAATGAACCATAGACTGATGCAGAAAAACAAGCAGGTGTGGATGAGTGCTGGGCCAAGGTGAGGAGTTAAATTACAGTCATCATCTGTGACACAAAATATTCAAGCGTTAATAATCAGTGTGGTATTACAACAGCTAATGAAAACGTATGGAAGTGCAAAAGAGCCTGTTTAACATTTCCCACCACAAGCCTGAAACCTAACTTTCCTTAAAGGGGTCATATAATGCCATTTTTGTACAAGCTAATATGATTCTTTAGAGTCTAAATTAAAACTTTGTAATATACTTTAATTAAAAATTCTCATTAGTATTGTAAGAAAACACTTATTTTACCTGGTCAAAAACAGCTCTGTTTTCAGCACGCCGTTTCAGTGTATATGACTTTAAATGATAATGAGCTTTGCTCACCCCGCCTCTCTGTTCTGTGTACACCGTTTGTAACACAATAACCATAACGCGTTGTTCATTATAGACGTGGGATTATGAATTATATTGAGAACGTCGTACATAGAAAACATGCCGTAATGTACCCTGAGTATAAACCTTAGACGCATTCATTGTGAAGCGTGCATCTAGCGATTTGCAAAGATTAATATAAATATGAAAGATTAATAAAATGTTACACTCACTTCAGTTATTTTGGAGGTTCAGCAGGAACAGTTGGTACCGGTCCAGGAGCAGCTTCTTAGCAAAACCAGCTTTATACTGACCCTCCTCGTTTATAAGCAGTCTGGTGTGTGAAATGATTTGCGCAAACATGAGAGCATTGACGTTGCTCGTGGGGAATATATTCCCTTCGAAAACAAAACTCAGCCACTGCGTCTTTAGCGGTTCGGATTTAGGAACATTAAAATGACTGCTGTGTTCCTTATTACATCCAAGAACAGAACACCACAACCGCTTAGACGCCATTCTGCTCATAGACAGTGCTCCAGCATATCAACAATGACCGCGCCGGTCCGCGCAGACTATGATTGACAGCTGGCTCACGAGCGAGGGCGGGTCTGTGTTGAAACCCGGCTGTCAATCAACAATCGCGGGAGGGGCTTCCGAGCGTGTGACGTCACACGGTCGAACGGCTTGATTTGAGGCAGGGGAAAACATATAAGGAGATTAAAACAAAAACACTGGATGGATTTTTATCATTTTATGATGGTTGTGTACAGGCACTGCCAACACACATTTCAGTACAATCAACTTGTAAAAGTGCATGTACCATTATATGACCCCTTTAAATGAAAAGGTTCATTATAGCTCAATCAAAAGCATTTGTGGCTTAATGTCAATTATCTAAATTAACCTAATCTAATGTGAGTTACATCATAGATTTGTCCCAAACCAGAGAATGTACTGCATTTGATGAAGAACATAGTTTAAGAACAGTTATAAAGTAATATGAATACAATAAGAACACACTATGGTAATTTTTTGCATAATATGCAATATAGAAATTACATTGGTAATGCATAACCAGTTCATCCACATCAGAAAACAATAAACAGTAATAATTAGTGTTTTAACAAAAAAATTGCTTCAAATGTCGAAAACACGAGAGGCAATAATATAATTATCTGTGGTAATCATTATGTCAGAGGTTTTGAAACCCCAAACCCAGAACATTCCTTTAAAGGGACACTATGCAGCTTTTTTAGCTTAACTGAACAGCTTCAGAGTTATTGAAATGGTTATATAACTTCTTTCGGGTTGAATGGTGGGCGTCTCGACCCCCCCTGGTGCCTGTGAGCGCAAAAATCTCACTTGCAACTTCGGTGCGACGGGCCGCGTCAGGAAGTATCGCGTGATATCAGCTCTCGCGATGTAACATATTCCTTTACGGCAACTCACACATACACACAGGAACAAGGTATAGATGGATGGAGTTTGTCACACTATCGTCATGGCTGAGCCGGCATATAAGATGCAGAAAGCTAGGAAAGCATTGTCGGAGGAACAGAGAAAGAGGAAACGGCAGACTGACCGAGCGAGGAGTCGGGCACGAGCATAGGCATAATTTGCGGGTGTGTTATGTATGTCCCCATTGAAACTTCTCGCGGCACGGATGTACCATTACAAACAAATAAAACATCTCCAGGTAACTCTAGTAGAGCATTCATTTCGTTCGTTTGTTAAATAAGAGGCGATCTGAAATGTGTTATTTTTGAAATCAAGTGACCAAAGTGCTCGTTGCCTCTGCGATCAGTGGTGCAGATCAGTTACAGTGTTCTGTTGTGACGCGCGCCTGAATCCGTTGCGGGGACTGAGAGACTCTCTATATTTTGTTATGGTGAAATCACAAAATCTAATGCACAAAAAACATATCCCTGCTTGAAATACAACCACTAATAAACAATCGGTTTTGATGAGGAAAATAAACTATACTACTAGTACCGATTAGAACCCAGAACCTCTGACACACTTGGCAAAAGTTCTGCCTCTGGACCATTACAATTGTCGGATCTATGTATTTAATCACGTGAAAATTCACACCACTAACAACATATATTATATCTCATTAAACGACAAATTAAACACAATGTACTATTGTATACTGTGAGTGGTATTTACGACAGTAACGTTAAATTCAAGTACTCCACAGTAACTCTAGGGGTCGCTGTTTGACAAAAACGGGATTTCTGCATAATGCCCCTTTAAGAACTTAGATATTAACATGCCCCGCCCCCTGGGAAATCTCATTGGCTAAATTCATGCTTCATATTGCTGCATATTCAACACCAAATATGTTCTGATTGGCTGTGATTAGGGCTGCATGATTTGGGGAAAATTCTAAAATTCAGATTCAAAATGCATTCAAAAATAAATATTAAAAATGCATTATTATTACTAAACTATTTTCTTTTTAAATTTAGTTACAGAATTAGATTAGATTAGAATACTAATACTTATAATACATATAAAAGAACACAGTGCCATGCTTCAATTTCCACTTTAATTGTGGATGTAAAACTACTTGTCGGTGGCAACTTCCGAATACTTCAAACTGTAAAAAGTGTGTGTTCCACAATAGAAAAGACATCCATGGTTTGGAACGACATAGGGCCGATTAAATGATGACAGAATTTTCATCTCTGGGTGATCTTCTTAATGTAAAATTGTTCAAGAGAAGAACTAACAAGCCACAATTTCTTTCTAAATTGGGGAGAACATTCTAAATCACTCACTGGGATTTCATGTTTCTGTCTGCTCTATGTAGAGATGGAAGTCAGTTGCCTCTGAACACAAAGTCACCACCTGAACGCATAAATCAGACATTCAAAGCTAATTGTTATTCTACTTCCATGTATTCTCTGATCACGCCATACACGTCGCAGTCTGTGTGGGCCAGGAAACACTAAGCTATCTTTGACACATGGATCTTTTATAAATCAAAGGACATTTATTATCTCCGTACAAACAACCTGGGGAATTCTCAGATATGGAGCGCCACAATATCATTATAAAATCCAATCCGCCGGGTGTATCGAATACGTCCCATGATTACTTCCACACGAAAAGCTCTGCTGACATAATGAATGGGGCATTTGCCGAGCCTGTGATAACGCTCCTGCTCTGTATTGATCTGATCTGGGAACAGTAGATATCTTTAACGTTGCAGTGGAGAGTCCCTTAAATGGCTCACCTCCCATACCTCTGTTATCAAATGTAATCTGTTAGTATTCCACAACATTAATCAAGCTGCTGTCCCACTTTCCCATGTATGTGCGTTCATGTGCTCTCATGACTGTATGTGTGGGAGTCTGGGAGATTGTCTAGTTGTTGATTTTGCGTCTGCTCTTGATTAAGGGTGTTTACAGGTAAAAGTGTGTCTTATAAAGCTTCGCTGGGACTAATATTGATTCTCTACAGGAATTTATAGCCAACCAATCATACACCAGGTGAACAAAAAGCCATTTTACAACAACCAGCCAGGTGTGGAAGAAAATCCAGATGATGTATCCACCCTTTAACTCAGACAACGAGATACAGTTGTAAATCTTTGTACATACAAATAGGATTCTGAAGCTTTCTTCCAAAACCGCCTACATAGCCAGCCACCTTCAAAAGCAACACCTAAATGGAACTTTATTAGTGAACGATTTGGAACACTCTAGATCTGTACAGCTTACAAATAGAGCTCCTCATATGAATGGGATTCAATTCAAAACTGATTTCAAAAGAAGAGAGAGAATACTTTAATAAGCTTGGTTGCCATCTTGGTTTTACTTATTTTTGTTACTGAACTTGCATATTTACCATGTTGTATTTAAGTTTCCACTGAGTCTTTCCGTCATCTTGGATTTATTTATTTATTCATTTTTTGTTTCTGAACTTATCTACCATGTTGGATTTTGTTTACACTGAGCTTGTCCACCATACCCCCTCCCTCAGTTCTTGCACCTTCTTGGAGTTAGCTTTTCACTAAAATTGTCTGACATCTTGAAGTTATTCATTTATTTTTTTCATTTAGTTTTTTTTACTGAGCTTATCCATCATGTTGATTTGTTTTCACTGAGCTTGCTCTCCATTTTGGGCTTATTTTTTTTGCCATCTTGGAGTTTTTCTCTGAACTTGTCCGCCATCTTGGATTTAATAGATTTAAAATAATTAGGCCGAAACTAGGTATCTTACGACTTAGCATATCATTTTAAGGCATCATAGGGGCATTCCTGATATAAAGGTGGTTTCAAAAGGAAGTTTAGAGCACACTTTGTGCACCTATGGTGCCTTAAAATACTTAAAACAGAGCTGACTAGGTTTGCAAACAGAATTCACACAGTTTATAACAAGATTTTAGCACTGCCAGCAATCTCTCATCGCAATCTTAGCAGCAGTAATAAAAGAGCGCAATCCCTTAAAGTTCCTCCATTAAAAATCTCATTCAGCTGAGGTCCCTCGTCCACCTGATAACACCCAAGACAAAGATACGAATCCCTGTGAGTTTAGTGGCAATCACTCACTCACCTTTCTTGTCCCCAAAGAAGAGTGTCTGTTGTGCAGGGTTTGACCACTGGAGGGAGGTGTTGTCATTGTGTTCCACACGGCAGGTCAAGTTGGCTATCCCTCCTTCTGTCACAGTCATGTTCTGGACGAGAGGGAACTGGCCTTGGGCTCCTGGAAGAGAAAGATGAAACTAGGTGAGAGACAGTCACAACCACAGCAACATATGGAGCATTCAACCTTTAGCAGAAGCACTCAACATGAAGCTAAGAATAGAAAAAGCCAAAACACGCAAAACCGCAGCGCTTGGGAAGAGAAAACGGCTCTTGTCACAGAAGTTCTTGTAATATTAATGCCACATAAAAAACTACCAAGCATTACAATGTTTTCCCGACGGTTAAAAATAGAGAATGGCGGTAAAAATACAACCCAGTCAGTCAAAGTGACAGATAATGATTATTTGCAGTGCAACCTCTGGCTAAGATGTGTTTTCCTGAAGCCCAGATCATGTGGTTTGGTTTGTGGAAGAGCTTCTCCAGAAAGGCAGAGTGGAAGAGAGCTATTTACATCTAAACACTGGTGAAAAGTACAGAAGGCGAAGAAAGTTACTTGCATCATTTAACACTAATTTAACATAATCTAAACCAGTCTGGAACAGAAGATGAGAGCAAGCAACTGCTGAACTCTTGCCTTCAGAAACACAAGATCCGTGAAGGAACATTTAGGTTTATATTTAAAGGCAATCGGAAGACATTAAGCAACTTTTGTGTGATAGGAATTCTTTCTGGAGGTGTTATAGGAAATGAGGACTATGTTCCATGTTCCATGTCGTGGAAGGCCATTGTTTTTTAAATACCTGCTTAAATCCATTTCTTATATAACGTTTTTTTTTCCCCAGATATTCTTTGCTCCAAAAGGGATTGTTGAAAAAATAAAATAAAAAATAATAATTATAATATATATATATGAATTATTTCATATACATATTTTTCAGTGGTGGTGGTGATGGGATATTTCTGACATTTTGTTTAGCTGTTGTTGTAACAGAGCAGAAAATATAAAATGATGTAGGAAATAGACTGAAGGCGCAGATTTTCACAGGCAAAATTCAGCCATTTCACTAAGAATACAAAAAAAAATGTTCTCGGATATTTCGCAACGGGGTTCAATTTGGTCACACTGATTCTCTTTGTTGACCAAGCTGCTTGGTTTGAAAGTGACTTCTGTGTGAGCTGTGCTTGATACATCACTACTGAAAACAGACAATGGACCTTTTTTCAAAATTTCACCAAAATGTGAACGCACTCTAAGAATCTCACTTGAAGAAGTGTAATAACACCTAAATACCTAAGACAACAGATAAAAGTCACTCGTGAGCCCTTGCTCACGACGATCTGAGCAGAAGCAGAAGACTGAATAAAGGTTTAGCTCAGTGAGAAATAATTCACAAACCGACATCCATCACGGCACCACAGGGTTAGACAGGCAATAACAGATCACCTTGTGCAGGGAGGGGACTCATAGGGGAGCTAATGAAAAACTGTACACACACACATATATAGACAACCCTGGAGAGGACATGATAGATGAATAATCTGTATTTATTTAAAGTGAAGAAGTGATGACTCTCACAGACCAGAGGTCAACATCTCCAGCACCACCGCTGCCAGACAACGAGACTTCAGGAGAGATGAAAAATGTCAGAATGTGATGTAAAGGAGAAGGACGCTGGCGTGATGGAAGAAAAATGCATGTCCTTACCAGTAAAGTTTCGAGAGTGAAGTCATTTTTAAGTTCTATCTAAAAGGGAAATGATGAAAATAGCAACAAAACACCCAGAGAAGTCATGGATTAAAATGTAATAGATGTGATTTAGCGCATGATTAGGACACGGCGCAGCACAGATTGGAGGTTGATGAGAGAAATAGAGATCGACGGGTATCTCGATTCAACTGCAAACTTAGCATTCTTTTCTGTTCGCTGCTAATTGCAGCGTGTCACAATTAGCCTGATTTGAGGGCCTGTCCAGATATGGAATATCTTTCATAAGAGGACCAGGAGGACAAGAAAGAGTGAGTGAGAGAGACAGACAGAGGGAGAGAGATCTGCTAAGGGCCTCTCCACAGGCTCCCTGACAGAATAGCACATCGGCCAGCTGTGGTGCTTATTTCTTTTCTGTGCCTCTGGCGGTCACATTACACGCGCACACACACACACACTGAGCTGTTGATTTGGGATTTATTTAATTTCCTCGCTTGTTTTAGTGAGACAGAAACACTTGTATATTCCACAGTCATGATTATTACTATCACGCTGTAGCTTAACACTGTAATGCTGATGATTTATTTGCATCAAATTTGAGGTTAATGTATAATAAAAAGTGAAATCATGAGCTACGGATTTTGACAAATATTTGGCAAAATGGTTTGGCACGTTCACACAGGAGCTAAACAGAGTTCAGTTGTGTATTCGGTTCTGTTTCAGTGCAAAATCTGGACTCTGTAAAAGAACAGACTCCCTTGAATTCAAAAGAACTCAAAAGGGATTTTGAGAGCTTTGTAAAACAGAATCGCGATATTCGATGTGGTTGACCAAAATAGATTTTTCATGGCTGATGCCATCAAGAGAGCAAGGTGGGTGATATAAAACCAAATTATACTCTTATATTTTATATATTATACTCTTAAAAATAAAGGTGTCAGTAAAGTTTTTTGTTTGTTTGTAGAAATGCAATAGAGAAACCATATTTGGTTCCCTCAAAGAACTTTTCTGTGAGCAGTTCTTAAGAGAACACATTTTTTCTTAGTGTGAAGAATATTTTAATAATCAGAAAAACCTTTTTCCAATTATAAACAACCTATTGTGCATGGGAAAAGTTCAATGGATGTGAAAGGATGGAACGATCTCCATGGAACCATCGATACCAATAAAGAATCTTTATTTTTAAAGGCCAATTCACACTGCACCGACCGACACTGACCAATCACCAGATTGCATTATGTCACTTCTCAGATATTCCACGACCCAACAAACAAGTGCTGACCAACGCCAACAGATGCAGACTAAATCTGACAAAGCGTCTGTTGCCGTCTGTCGGTATGCTGTGAATTGGCCTTAAAAGTGTGGTAAATAGCACATGCATAACAGTTTATGCAAATAAATTCATATATATAGTAAATAGTAATAAATAAATAATATGTATATAAAGAAAAAAAAATCTACACTCAGGTGCTGGTGTTCTCAGCACTGTCAAAATAAAAGTCCGGCCAAACAGAAAAGCTTATGCTGATATTTAAAAAGAAAAAAGAAAAAAGCCAAATAAGTCCTTGGCTATATAAAACAAACCACTATTTTGAAACCTGCCATATTTGCTTTTAAGAAAAAGAATCAGGCACTGGCAAATATAATATAATGAAATATTAGCCAACAATTTGAATAGCCATTAGTACAAAAGGCCTTTCTTGGTCCAGATGGTATAGTTGCAGCAAAACATGAGCCCATGGTTCGTCTTGGCTCAGGGGACATATGAGACAGTAGAGTAGGTCATTTACTACCCGATTAAGGTCTCCAACAATCTACAGCATAAGAGGAGGAGGAAGAAAGAGTCGGAGAAATGGATCTGTATTACTCTAGGTGGGCAGGATACATTATTCATCTGTATTTTGCATGAAGCATGGCCTGCCAGCCCCTGTCTCTAGTTCTCTCTCTGCTTTCTTGATCTCTGCCATCTTCTCCTGCCTCATTTTCTCATCCCCATCCCTCATCACTCTTCTCTCTATAATCAGGAGAAAGGGTCAAGATCCATGGGAAATCAGTCATGGGAAACTGCTCCAAAACTGTAGGTGCAAATCTGGTTCTATTTTTACACATATGTGGTTGATAACAAACAATTAAGATTAATGAAACGTGTCAACTTAGGAAATCTCAAGAGGGCCCAAAACAGTGTGAATGCAAAAGATGATCTCTGAGGTGTCACCATTCAGGAAAATAGTGCTAACTAGGAGCCTGGTGATGATTATTATAAAATAAGAATGTATGGCATCAACCTCTTCAGTGTAGCTGCTACTAGCCAATGGGAAATCTAGACATGTTTATATATAAAAAATATATAAATGAAATTACATATATAAATAATTAATATTAATTATATAAGCCTATATATTATAATAAATTCTAATAATAAACTGTGCTAATTGTTATTAATTCTAATAAAAACTAAGTTTTAGGCTTTAGACAGGCTCTTCAAAGTCCCGCATGGACAATTGACCCTTCGCTAAGCCCCGCCCTCCTTAGTTACTGTTGCTACGCCTGTCAAGCTTTCGCGGCTGCCACGTCTATTACAGTGTGAAAGCACCGGTGTCAGACATTCCCAAGGAGATAATTAGTCATTTTTGGCGAACAGGTGAAATATCTGAGAGAGCAAGACAAAAGGGACAGCAGTATGCATTCGAGGGATATATCCACGGCATAATATGCAACCGATTAGATTAGAGAATAATTTCATCAAAATTGAAGCTAAAGCCTATAACGTTAGGTCCCAGCGCAAGCAGCAGCCGCCTCCTTAGCAGACCATTCACATGGGAAACACAAATTGAACAGCTATGTTCATGCACAGCAGAGTAAGTGAAATGTGAAAATAATCTAATAATTACAAATCAAACAGCTTATCCATCAATCTAACACCGGGAGAGCCGCGATCGGATTGGGCTAAAGTTACTGAGGTAACGTTAGTAGGCCGTCGATTAACAAAATGCTGAAATATATTTTAAAGTATGTCAGTGAGCCTCCGTCTTGCCTTTAATCTTCTTATTTTACGCTCAAATACATGCATTATGAACAAAGAACCGCCATTTTTTCCAAGCAATAGGCGTTTTTTTTGTTTTGTTAATCCTGTCGACATTTAACGTTAGTTGTGAATGGGTCTCCACACTGCTTGATCCACGCCCGGGATTTCTCCCCTTTGGCTTTTAGGTTTCGGGAAGAGAAAAAATGCACCCCACCGTCCAAACTTTTAGAATACCGGGTATCAGATTTGCACAATCCATACGCACAACGCGTCGGCATGTTTCCCTCGCTCGAAAGCTTGACAGACCTCCCGCGCCTAGTTACGGTTGCTAAGCCACGATTGGCCAGTGGCGGTTTTCGGGCGTGGCTTAGCAAAGGGTCAATTCATG